GAAACAAAACTAACTGTTTCCCTTTGGGTCAGTCATTAAGTGCTTATTATCATTCGATGTATTTTTCTTCCTTTTTATTGGCCGAGAGCCCACCACGTGGCCTGCAAATAACTGCATACAAATAATAGCTTACTGATGCGTAATACCCTCCAAATTTGTTTTGCTGTTAATAATATTCTGCTCTCACGCAATTGTAACCTCGCTTTTAGGTGAAAAATGGCAGATTGCTTCCCTGAGTTGTCAGAGAATGATCAAACATGAAAGAAACTTGGTGATCAATTAAATGATGAGCAGTTATTGAATTTGGTTATCGCAAAATATCGTGTTATTTGTCAGTGTCTCGCAGATCAATCATTGATCTGTTCGCCAACGACACTTCTGACACTTACAGCATTCGAGCGTCAATTGTGCACTTGAACGGCCTCCCTCTTAAATGTTTCCTTTGTATCTTACAGTTCAAAGAGAAATCGTGCTTCTAATTTCAAATCAGCTTTATGCTCATTCAGTTCCGATTGTTATTCCCTAAAGTGTATTCCACTCTGTCCAGATGCTATTTCAAGGATACCACGTGACCAGATTCAGAATGACATAATTTACTAGATCACGCAAATGCAATAAAAATCGAATCAGTATTCAGGTTTTCAGACAATGCTTGCTACTGCTTGAAGACACGGTAGTTGGTCGAAATCAGGAGTCGAAATATAAGAGAACGAAGGCTATTTTCTATCATATTTTCACCGTATGTAGGTGAAATTGAAGGTATGCTGTCTGACTACAACACTTTTTTTAAGAAAAATATGTCTCAATTACAGCATTGAATGTTAAATTTTAGGCAAGGCCAGATGTAAGTTACATATGAAGATGTAGAAGAGAGAAGAGAAACTAAAACGACGAAAGAATCAATGAATAAGGAAGGCTATCTGGTTGCCGAATAGTTGAACGCAAGGGCTTGCCAAATCGTGGAAATTCATGCTTTTAGTGTCATTGTCAGAGAAAACGGAGGAGTTCGGCCGTTTTCTTTTTCATCTTTTCCGATATAAATGCTATCCGAAAAGATTAATAGCCTTTTATATTTGCCGAGGTAGCCTACATGGCTATTTATCTTGAAGCTGAGAAAGGTAAATTATATTAACCGCTAAAGCGATTTTGTGAAACGGACTTTTCCAATGTTAGGACTTCCTCAGAGCTCATTCTGACTCCACTTTCGGTTTTTTTTTTTTTCAAGAAAAACAACGCGATCAATCAATCAATTAATTAATCAATCAATCAATCAGTCAGTCAGTCAGTCAATCAATCAATCAACAACTTTATTAACGTGTCTAAGTAAAACAGCCGAGGGTGAAACCCTCTACTCAGTGTATAGTGTACTGGCCTGCGCCAATTCAGATGAAACATTGAAAACAAGAAAGGTTTCCGTTGCCATTCCCAATATAGCAGCGTTCACACGTCCTGAGATGTATGTACAATTCCTCTATCCTTCGTGACCCCATCCTGAGTGGGGTAACAGGAAATTAGTTTCCTAAAATAACACAATCTGTATGTCATTGTTGACATACAGCTGCACCAAGAAGACACCGGCAGGATGTAAAATTCAAAACAAAAACCCTTACAGTGAAATATCACTGCTGACAGTCCTAACATTGAAAGGATAATTTAGATAATTTTTCAATTCTTCTGTCCTATGTGACCCTATCCTGAGTCGGATGGCAGGAAATTGGTATCCTAACCTGAACTTCCTCATCCTCTACAAACAGCTGCACCAAAAAGACCCCGGCACGATGTAAGATTAAATTATATCTCGTTTGGACGCAAATATATATTTGAGGAATAACTGACTCAAGTTAACCGCACTGCTTGGCGATTCTTCTGATCCGAAAGAGCGGTTCAAACCAAGGGGAGACCTTTGAAAAATATCGACATTGCGAATTGAACTCCTGTCGTCTGCCTGAACGTAATTGAACCCTGCTGACAAGTCACACCAGTCGAAAACGACAAATCGATGTTAAAAAAAAGTGTTTGCAGAAGTCTCAAAATTAGTAATGGGTGGAGCTTCGATCATTATTAACGTGCACTTCGTTTTACACAACAGCAATAAAGACCATTTGAACTGGGCGAGGGTCCATTTCGTTTTTCGTGTAGCACGTAGCGTTAAAAATAGAATTTTTGCGGGAAATTCAGCTCACTTACTAGGTAAGCCGATTTAATTTGAGAGTTTGAGATTTGCACGTACGGTTAAAAACGATATCACGGCTTAAATGCTCTTTCCTGCAGACCAGTTAACTATTGCAAGGGGATCTCTCAGTAAATCCTGAATTAAAATCGCAGATAGTCGAAAGAAAGTGATATTCTTCGCTAAACTGAATTCTGCGAGAACTATTTCTGACTGAAGATTTTCATCGTACTTTGCGAGGCCGTTTCAGCCGATTTTCTTGTAGATTCTAAACTGGATACTACCGGGAAAATGTTTTACAAGGGAAGGTAACTGCGTTTGTAAAATGACTCGCTGAAAATGTCTAAAATTTAGTTCACGCTCATAAAGGATTCGGCGGGGATATTTCGCACCGTGGTCGTAACGGGAAGCACGTACATTGTGCGAAGCACCTTCAGGTCTGCTAAAGTTGCCCGAAATTTAGGCAATTTTCCACCGCTTGAGAGACCAATATTATGATGAGTTGATATGTTGATATTAAAAAACAAACAAACAAACAAAAATGAAACGAAACGAACGCCTACCTCGGTAAATGCCATGGTTGTTAATCTTTTTGGACCTTTTAGATAGCTTTTATACTGTGAAAAGATGAAGGTAAACGGCCGACCAAGATCGATCTTGTGCATGGTACTGTCTTGTTTTCTCTGACAATGACACTAAAATCGTATCTGATTGAAAACAGCGCAGTGGAGCATTTCATGTCAAGAGAGAGGGTACCTTCATCAGAGTTTATGAGAATTAGCATAGCTCTAATTTCTTTCATGCATTTGCATTTCCGCCCCTAAATTTATCATCATTGCCATCCTTTGTAAAGCTTCTGCTAAAAGTCTTATCGCCGTTTTGTGTTTCTGCACTGTGCACCAGTATTGCTCTCCCTTTTGGTGGGAAATACTACATATTAAAAACATTTGTCGTTAAAAGCTAACCAATTTACGCACGTACGGCGCTGATGAAACTTTTTCTTACGGGTTTGACATTTGATTTTAAAATTGTTGCTCGAGAAGTGCTGTAAATGTAGCAGCAAAGAGAAGCAGTTTTAAATGAGAAGAAACTTCCTTAAAGCTGATTCGGTATCAAGAAAATTCGCTTAAGCTGGGCAGTTGTAGAAAATAAAATGAAAAGCGACGACCATTTCCTTAAACGTTATTGAGCAAAACCACTAATACCAATATCTCAAATTCGCCTAAATTAAAGCGCGAAAGGCACGATTCCCAGCATCTAAATAAATGGAAATAGACGAGACACCAGCTGATTTGTTGCATTATAAAAACTGTTCAAGGTGATAACATAATACGTGAAATCAAAATGACTTTTATAATTATGATTTTCATCTTTCAAATCTGCCCGATCAGATAACGTGGGCTAATATCGGTCATGTAGGCTTTCATTTGGCATATAGGATTATGCATAACGTAGTCATTTTTACTAGCTTCGGTTGCTTTTTATTTACATATCCTGATTCAAACTCGCAAATTACAAACTTCATTTTATGTTGCAACAGATCAAGAATTATGTTCGAGACTATCACTTACATTATTATTTCAAACTCTAAATTTAAAGTCTATCGCAAAACGTCATGAAATATGTTTTCGTAAATTTGCGTTGATTTTTCTGCTGTTCAGTTTGTTGCGGGGGGGGGGGGG